TATTTATTTAATATAATTATTTTTAATCTTCTAAATTCTTTAATTTTATATACATATATAAATTTTATACTCATGTTTGTATTTTATTTTTTCTTTGTGTAGATAGTTGTTTGGTATACAGAAATTTCTCTCTTTACTTAACATTATTTTATGGAATAATGCATTTTTTGTATTAGATACTAGAGATTAATAACAAAAATAAAAACTATATTGATATGTTAGGCCATCACGTACACTCTGTGCACTGCTACGCCCGTGATCATAATTTTGTTGAAACTAACCTTCTTTCTACGTCATCGGGAAGAAATGCTGGGAATGCTGAAATACACAGAAGACAATTTTTGGTACGTTCAGTACGATGCGTATGGCAACAGGATTTTGGAAAAGATCGATCGAAAGGGGATAATATTATTGTTCACGTTTACATTCTTCGTTCAAGGAGCCGTTTTTACATATTTGCTGGCGCCTATAATCGGTATTTTAAATTTACATCGTCCGTTTAATAGAGAACAAAAATAGTGCAGATCTCTTATATTCTCAGTTAGGCTATTTTTTGTTTGTTTGTAGCATTAGTTGCGTGAACGGATATCTCATTTATCTCCCATATTACATTTTTTTTTTTATAGAAAATAGGGGGATGAACGAAACCGAGAGAATACTCATTTTTAATATCTGGGTCGGAATTCCGACAAACGTCTCGCCTAACTTTGAAATACTTTTTTTTTTAGAGGTAACCCAACGTATTCACGCACTCGCTTATATAGTGTAGGGACATTAGAGTCTAAATTAATTTTTTAGAAATCGTTTTGTGACATTCGCGATTCTAGATTCGCGACTGTACGTAATCTTTAGTTAGATTTTTAAAGAAATTTCACGGAAATCATAGCGTTGCATCCGACGTGTTAGCTATGTCACCTTGTATTGTTTCGATATAGTTCTTTGTTAGATAGCGCAATCTCTTTATCTCTCAACGCATATGATTTTCTAGACCATAGCGCTAATTCACTCGGGCCTGTGCTTCTGCTGCTTCGATAATCTCTTAGGTTTGTTAAACATGCACACCGCTGGTCAGTTCAAGATGCTTCAGCATCGCCTAGAAACCATTTTCCAGAAAGTCGAACGGAGAGATACCGTAGAATTTTTCGATGAAAAAAGGGAGCATCAAGTGTTCGAAGAAATTATAGAATGCGTCACGATACATCGCAAGTTAATCTGGTACAGTAAAAGAATGGAATATTTCTTTATGTATACGACCCTCGCTCAACTCCTAGTATCCTCCGTCTTGCTTTGTGTCTCGGGTTTGCAAATATTTTTGGTAAGTATGTAAAGTATACGTATGCTTTTATATGTGTGTGTGCAAAAGGAAAAAAAGAGAAGAAAAAGAGAAAGAGAGAGAAATTGTCAGATTTTTCTGGAAAAAGAAACATGATATTTTTTTCCAAAAGAAATACTGTCAGTATTTTATTTTCCTTTGTATAAAATTGGAATGTGCGGATATTCTTTATACTTTTTTTCTGTACACTCATATATATATATACAGTGTCCCATCAAAAGTGGTCCCCTCTTTTATCTTTTAAACTAAAGGAGACAGACCATAATAAATATATATCAAATTAAATGGTTCAAAAATACAACTAAAATGCAAAACAAAACAAAAAAAAAATACGATGGTTCTAAAAATACAACTGCTTTATCGCTTTGTTTTACATCGCAAGCGAACATTCAATTTGCGACGGAATCCGATGACTCGATTGACGGCAAAGACAGAAGGCTTAATGCATTGTTCACAGCGGAGAGATTGAAACTAATATATGCATCACCGATTGATCGCCTTAGCAAGGGAAATGTACTATGATGATAGCTTGTCACCAGCACGTGGTAAGCTCGCGCCAATTTTCCTACCTGTTAGCATAATGGGCTTCCATTTACGTCGAGATAGCTTCATCGTTTGAACGTACTTTAGGATCACGGGGGAATGCATCAAGCAAATTACGGGATTTGGTACTTAAGGTAAGAAGTATCGATCAATAATTTATTATAAGTCTTTATAAAAAATGGTCGATCTTTAGTACACATCAAGGTACTGAGATACTAAAAATGCACTAAAAATGGCTGCTCTTGCGCGTTACATTCGGTTATTAAGATATTTTTATTGAAATAAGTTCATCGAAATTATATGTTTATTTTTAATCTAGATATTTTATTATTATTTAATACTCTTATTTATTTACAAATATGTGTATTAACAGCTTCGTCAAAACATTCATATTAGGAGCAGGCAGGGTTGGATAATAACTAGTTAAACAGTTAAAAGTTAAGTTAAAAAGTTGAAAAGTTAATAACTTTAAACTTAACTTAATTTATTTTAAACGTATTAATTTTTAACTTAAACTAGTTATTTTTAAATGCATTAACGTTAACTTGTTAACTTTTTTCATACAAGTTAAAATAATTCATCAATATTAAAGTCGTGTGAAAATGGTTAATTGTAATGCGAATATTTCATTTGTACAACAAGTTTGTCGGATGTCTCGATTCGCTGTTGGACAGAGATTTAACTTTTAATTTTTAACTGAATTAATAATTCTTTAACTGAGTTAATTTTTGTTTAAATAACTTTTAACGTAAACTTAGTTAATTTTTGGGCCATTAACTTTAAACTTAACTTAGTGTTACGTCCGGCGGACTTGACCTCACCTTGAAAAGACCACTTAAGGTCAAATCCATATTTTTATCATGTGGCCCCCTCGAAACCATGCAACTTTTGTCTGAAACATTTTTTGATATCTCACTTTGTTTCCGAAAAATATGCCCGCGTCACTATAAATCCCGCACACTGTATATATATTCTTGTTACAAGGATAAATATTTAAACTTTCTCTCCTTTCTTTCTGGATTTAAGAGTTTTTCTTAATCAAATAAAGAAAAACTCCAAGAATTATTTCTCAAATTAGAGATTTTCTAGCGACTATATAGCGACATAGCTTCTACAATATATTATTATTCATCATTATTCTTTCCTTAGTGGAAAGATAAAAACGGTCGTCGCGAGCTGCTATCGAATGTTCGCGGAATCGTCGGAATAGGAGGTTACGGAAAGAATTGGCTCAAGCTCAAGCGAAATCTATTAACATTACTGTTAAGGGCGTAGAAAAAACTAATATTAAAATAAAAATCGCACACAACACACGCACATCAGACAGTCCTCCCCACGTACCAGAACCAACCCCTTCTCCCGAAACTGGCCCGTCTGTGTGGATCCCCAGCACCCTCAACTATCATCCTTAGTGATTCCCCCCTCTCGTCCCCTGTCCATCCAGAATCCTTCCATCCGGACGAACCTGGAAGCTCTTTTGAACAACCACCCGACAGCGAAATTGAGGGTGGACCCCGAGAACGGGATTTTGCCGATTTCTCCGATAACCAGAGCAATTCGGAGAGAGAACCCCGCGACTCCAGAAACGGACCATCTCACCTTGGAGAGGGGTCTAGAGCTTACGAGCAAGGGCTGACCGAAGAGCAATTTCGCCTTTGGATCCTGGACCGATTTCCTTCCCTGACTCAACCGCTACCTGAAGGAGTATTTTGCATAGGGCCGGACCAGGTAGGCCCTCCAGCTGACTTTCCTTTCATTCGAGTCTGGACGTAACATTAGTTTAAAAAAATATTAACTTATCCAATCCTGGGAGCAGGATATGTTTATTTATAATTAGTTCTTAGTAGGTTTATTACTAAAGAGTATCACGTTCAACTTGTGTGCAACATGGCTTAATAATAAGACTAATAAAGTTAGATAGTTTCGTGTTCTAACGTGATACAATAATGGATTTAGTCCATTTTCTGTTGAGAAATTTTTAAATAAATAAGTATTTGATTTTTGGATACGACAAACTACAAAGAATAAATATGACTTATATTTTTACATTGATCGTTCATCTTGCAACATTCAATCACATTTTCGCATCTTTCTTCGATATAGCTTTCGTTTCTGCCTACGCCATATTGGCGAATGCTACCTATCAAACGCCCACGCAAAGCGATGCTGTAAAGCGACAAAGGAGATCTTTTGCATATTTTGTAAATAGAGGATCGATGAAGGAACAAAATGGACAAGATTCTATCATTTAAATTCGCGGCTCAAATTTCCATATCAATTACTGTATTACGAATATTGAAAAGAACAGAAAAGAGAAAAAGATAAATGTACAAATGTTTTATATATTAATACGCAAACGAAAAAGATATAATTATATTTTTCGTAAATAATTGGCAAAAATAAAGATTTTTGCAAAATTTTCTTTGATTAATAAAAAATTCAGATTTTCTTTTCATGACTTTCCTGTTGCCTGTCTATATTACGATATCACGACTAAAGATTAAAAGAGTAGTAAATAAAAGAAACTTAGGGTAAAAAACTCAGTAAAAACTGTTTTTTACTCCCCCAAAAATGAGTTTTCTTATTACTCAGATTTAATTACTCAGAATGTCCATTTTCGAAAATTTATAGCAAAAATTTAATTTTAATGTCTATTTATTAATCTTTGATGCACAGCTTTGAAAAATGGGCATCAAATTTACTAAAATTAGATATCAGATTCCATGTTCTGTGTTATTCTAACTTCTAGTCCACAAAATAACAAAAATAACAGCTTAACTATGCTTGAGAAAATTTTCTTCTAACTTTTATGAAACTTTAAAAATAAAGAACATCAAAAAATACCATTAAATTATAAAAATCAAAATTAACTTGTTTTAAAATATTCGAACTCAACTGATTAAACAAATGCGAAGTAGCAATCAGCTCAACCATATCCATTGAAATTGATTACTGATCCAGTAAACAAAATTAATTTAATTTCCATACCTTTTTTGTTCGAAGAAAACTGACACTATCTTTCAAAATTACAAACAAAATAATTTTTTATCCAAAAATACCGGTTTTTTACTTAGTTTCATCCCCCATTTTTAGAAAACTCGGATTTTTTAATCTCTAATCACGACATATAATTCTAAATGTTATTAAAAATATAATTACCTCTGCTATTTTTACACAATAACAGTTGCAAATAGACATCAATTTTACGATAGATTTCGGTAACTCGTAGTCTGGTTATTGAAGCGGAAACGGCAAAGGAAGCAAACTATGCATTGTCAAGCGAGGACCAAATACACGCATCATCGATTGATCACCTTAACAATGGAGACGCGTATGATTGTAGCCTATTACCAGTATGAGATAAGTGGCTACCAATTTTTCTGTCTGTTAGAATAATAGGTTTCCACTTACGCCGAGATATAGCTCGATCATTCGGATATACTTAGGGCCGCGGCGGCGTAAGAAAATCATGAGTTTCGGCATGATACGAAGTAAGGAGTACCGAACAGTGAGTATTACACGGGTCTTCATGAAAATGGTAGGCCTCTGGTACGTCGAGACACAACGGGAACAGCTGTTCCTGCGCGTCGCGTTTGGCTATGCCGTTTGGGCGATTATCTTCGCCATTCTCGTCGAGGGCGTCGATCTGTACCATTGCATAGGCGACTTTTACGTAAGTGACGCAGCGATCATTTTTCGCATAGCTTTTCCTAGATTGACAGAAGCAAAAGTTATATAGTTTCATTTGTTTTTATTACCGGAGTGTAATTTTATTCTGTATTTTTATTTCTCGGCATCCATTTTAAATCTTTTGCCACATGCGTTCAATCAATTTCGTTTCTCTTCGACATAATCTGCATAAACTAACTGTCTCTTTGCTTTTGCCAGAAAAATATTTATTTTTAAGTTCCTCGATTATGTTGTTTTTAACACATGTTCGTTTACATACGCACCGTCAAGACATTTATATGGGAAGTAATATACGTCTATTTATATTTAATTCTTGGTAATTTTATTACTCGTAGGCTGTCACGACCAACTTGTGCACAACGTTGCTGTTAATAATGATATTAGTGAAGTTGGGTAGCTTTATGTTCTATCGCAATATGATAATGGATTTGATTCATTTTGCCGAGAAGAATTTTTGGAATGTAACTTACAATGAGGTTGATACCCAAATTCTGGAAGGATACGACAAATTAGGGATGACTATGGTCTACACTTTTACATTGATCGTTTACGTGGCGACATTCAATTATGTCTTTGCACCTTTTTTCGGTATAGTTACGGTTTTCGCTTACGTCGTATTGGCATACGTTATCTTTCAAATTCTCACGTGAAGCAATGCTTTACAGCAAAGGAGATCTCTTTTTACTTTTTATAGAGCATCAAGGGATAAACGAAACGAAGATTCTACCGTTCAAACTGTGGTTCGATTTTCCATATCACTCGCCATACTACGAAATTACTTATACTATACAGGTAATAATGCATAAAATTATTATTTTTTCAATTTATTGTATAATACTTATATTGTGTATTTATTAAACATTTCACACAAAACATTACTTTACAATTGAATCGAGTTTTTCAAATTTGTAGAATATCATTTTTAGATAACATTTTCTCTCTCTCTTTAAATATCTTTTAAATAAAAATTTAATTTAATTAATATTTTTATTTAACAAATTATAAACAAAGCCTTGTATAAAAAATTTTATTTTACATTTTCGATCTGCATTTGCATTGGAGGAATCACCTTCATATCTCTTATATCACGATATCCGATACAATATATACATATATGTATACACATATTATGTAATTATATATTAATAAAAATAATATTTTTCTGTGTGTAACTATGTAAATGTCAAATTTCGATACTTTACATTAGCACTTTCTCAATTATGCCAGAATCTAAATCCCATTAACGTTCATGTTGTAGTCACTTTCGACGATACATTCGGGTATATGTACTTGCTGCTTTGACAATTTCGTGAGCACATTTAATATCCATACGGCCGCGCAATTGAAAATTTTGGCCCATAAAGTGGAAGCGGTTACCGAGGATTGCATCAATAACGTGATCGGCCAGAAACATCTGTCTGAAACGGATATTGCGACGTTAACATTTAGAAATTTGCAAGATTGTGTACAGCAACATCTTATGCTCATACATTACGTACACAATATGCGACGTGTGTTTTCCGTTATATTGCTCGGACAATTGTTGCTTTCCAGTATAGTCATCTGCTTCGGTGGATTCCAATTTCTCGTAAGCTTTCAAATCTTAATTCTTTTTGGCTTCATATCTTGTTGTATATTTTACCAATTAATTCTATTATATTTTTACTGCAACACATTTTCACGAAATATTAGATAAATATTTATATTGCATTTTATATTAAAATTTAATCTTCTTTTTCATTGATTTGTTTACAACTGTTATGATTTATACGTTTAAAAATCTCGCAGTTATAATGTGTTCAAACATAGATGTATTTAAAAATTTCAGAAAAGATTCCAATATGTATAGTTATAGCTATAATATATATTTTTCATTATATA